TTTAACAAAAAATAATTTTAATTGACTTAGAGTTTTGTACATAACACTATAATTAAAATAAGATAGATAGGTTAGGTTTTTATCTCTATTTAATAAAATTTAAAAATAAATTAAATTAAATATTTAAATAAGTATTTGTACTTCAAATAATTTAAATATGATACTAAAAGAAAAATCTAAGAATCTAGTCTCTATACTAATTTTAAAATAAGATAGTTACTTCAGGATTCTCATAAATTTTAAAATACTAAGTTTATAGCTCAATTGAGTTTGATGCTATTAGAAAAAGCAAAGTTATACTAATTTCTTATAAATAAGGAAATATATTGTAGGATTAGATAGAATATTTATCTTAATAGCTAAATTCCTAAAAATGTTAAACTAGTCCAAAATCCCCAACCAAAGTAAGAAGACTTTACTTCTTCACATTCAATTTTTCTCTTCTTTAATTCCTCTTCTCTTCTCTAGTCTAACATAGATGACAATAAGGTTCTAATTTGATAATTAGTTTTGTGCTTATGTTCTATAATTAGTTAGGTTTAGATAACACAAAGTGTTGCAATGTGACAAGTATGCAAAAAAAAAAAAAACAAAACAAAACAAAAAAGTGATTGATACATGTTAACCATTTTCTCTCTCCTTTTTAATATTTTTCTCCTCTATTGACTTAATATAAAAATATTCATAAATTATGTATAGATTTTAGGATTTACAGTTAGGTCCATATCAATTAAGCTTCTAATATAAAATTATGTAATATAAAAATTATTAAATAATTTTTATTTAGAAATAATTAAAAAAATAAATGGATATCATAAATAATTTAAAAATAAAGGATATTGCCCCCTCCTATTGCTAAAAAAAGAAATCTAATTATCTAATTATCATACTTCAATCAATGAAAAGATGTGGGATAAAGTTTTATCATGTCTCCCAAGTAAAATTTTTAATAGAATGATATTTTAAATCCACTTCAACCAAAGGAATAGCTAAATAGCAAGCAAAATATTATAAAATAAATGATATGTTAGAACTAAGATCAAACAAAACTTTTATATTTTTATTAGAAACATGAACAATACATTCAACCACTAATTTGAAAGTTCTAGAATTATATTTAATGATAACATATACTCTAACATAGGCTATAAGCTTAAGGAGGTAATGGCTTTTCTTTTTGTCAAAAGGGCAATCTTTCATTTGATAAACCAACTTATTATGAGCAAAAGAAACTCCAATCATTCAAAAACAATGACTTATTTTATGATTTTTATAATATTTTACATATGAGAAAGTCTTTTCTCATCACTTCTCTCTTTTAAACTAAACTCAAGTGTCTTTAACCTTTAATTACAAATTTCTGATTCATTTTTTTTATTTTATTCTTATGGCTGATGAGTTTGGCATTAGCTTTTTTGTTCATGATATTCTAAATCTTCTCAATATTTTTTTCGATTATCCTAACTTTACCAACCACATGAATATATACTTTGAATTTTAAAATTAAAATTTGATTTCTTATAGTTGGTCTTATCTCTCTTTGAAGCTTTTTTACCTTTCTAAATTCATCATCAATCATATAAGTAATACTTTTTATTTTTTTCTCTAAGAATTCTCAAATTTTAATGTCTTTCTAAGAATTCTTTATCTCTAAAGAAGATTTCATCAACAACTAAATAATTCATTAGACCTCAAAATATATACTCCAAAATCAATATATTATATATGCTAGTAATCCTCAAATCATAATATCACCTCTATTATTAACAACCACTTATAAACTCACCGGGTCAAAGAAATATCATAGTCATTAACTAACTATTTACCACAAATTCACATCAACACAAAACATAAAAGCTTCATATTAAACATTCTAAACTTTACAAACATGAGATATCTTTTAACATTTAAAATAATACACAAACTTAGTTTTTTAGATAATATTACAAGCAAAATATTTTTTACAATAACATCATGTTAAATCATTAAAAGATTACTACAAAATTCTAGCATTCTACTGCCCAACCTAAACCTAACGAGTGTGAGTGATGAGTTAGCTTAAAAAATTTGTATTGAAATAATGTGAACTATAAACCTCAACAAGTCATTATGGTATCCATGGAAAAAGATGAGAAATCATATGGCATAAAGGTCGAGATATC